TTTCCGCTACCGGTTCTCCGAACTGCTCAAAATTTCCACTATCGGTTCTCCAGAACCTGTCAGAACCTGCTGGACTTCACCCCTGGTACTAACACTATTAAAGAGGGTATTAATTCTATAAAACAATATTGGATAAGGCTAAGAACAGAATATCTCCATTGGAAGATTATGGCATGTCAGTAGACATATTTATAACTGATTTATTAAAAATGGCTAAAATTCTTCAGTACAGTGTAACATCACTGGAATCTCATTCTCACTTGGCCAATTTTTGTTTGATTGAAATTTGGGGGGGGGGGGACACAGAGAAAGGATAATCTGTTTTCATTATGAAAGCCCCAATTTGGGATGAACTGACTTTGTCTCAAGAATAGCAGCTGAGAAAAGTCATCACATATCAGCTTCTCCTTTTCAAGCAACTGATAAACCTTAGCTATTCACTGTGCGGTTCCTTAAATTTGCCATAATGAAATTTTACAGAAGTCAGTCAAGTGATTGAATTCAGGGTTTAAAAATGAGTCTCGTTCCCCCCATCCCCCACCCCCAGATTACTCCATAGAAGTTCAACACCATGGGAAGATGTTCAACATGTTGAGAAATATTGCTCAAGATAAAAATCTTCAATATTCATCAGGCTTCCAAATGTCTTTGTTGTGAAATGATCAAATGGTATTCATACATCATTTCATAATAATGTGGAGCCTGAAAAATATCTTATCATGTTAAATTCTAGTTGAAGGAGGGGGATTAAAAAAAACCTCTGATGTTTTGCTACTCTGCTTTCTTGTAGCCAGACTGTTAAGTATCTTTATCTCTGATTCTTAATTACACTTTGCTTGTTATATCTGAATGTCCTTGGCAATAAGGAAACATTACAATTGCAGTTTCTTTTACAATTGTATTCCCTCCCTCCCTCCCTCCCTCCCTCCCTCCCCCCCTCTCTCTCTCTTATTCTCTTTCTTTGCCCCTTTCTCTCTCCCTCTCTTACTTTTTCGTTATCTTTTCCTTCATTCCTTTCCCCTCCCTTACTTCTTTTTTTTCCTTTTCAAAAATCTTCACTTAAATTTCACTTAAATTAATATATTTCTCCCTTTTCACCATCCCCCCAGTTTATATAATATTAGTAATAATCACCCCATTAGTTTGTTAATTTGTATATTTTAGCGCCAATCGGTTCTGCAGATGTTATCCTTAATACTGCATTTTATGTTTTCTTTTTTTTTTTTTTTTTGGTGGTGGTGGTTTGAGACACTTTGTATATGGCATCAGCAGTGAAATCCACTTAACTTTGCTACCGGTTTGGGAACGGGAGCACGTGGGAACCTTCTGCGCATGTGCAGATGGTAAAAAAAGGGACATAATGACATCATGGCAGGAGCCTCCTGCCGCTGGCGCTACCAGTTCAGTGAGCCAGATGGAACCGGGGGTGGGGGCATTTACTGGATGCAAATGGCACACAGTATATCTTTTCTCTTTTTTCTTTCTTTCTTTTGTTTAATATCAACAATATTTTGAGAATCTCTGTGGTATGGAATGCTGAAGAATTACGTTCTTCACTCAAAAGTAGGCAGGAGCCAAGTTTTAATTAAAAAAAAAAAATAGAAGTGGAAAGATGCTGAGCGGCTCAGTGGCCTGGTGTCGAATATGCTCACCTCCCACTTGGAAGGCTGAGATTTTTATATGTTTGCCATCTTGAGTTATTTCTAAAAATAATAAAGTGGGAAATCAATCAATCAATCAATCAATCATGTAAACAAACAAACAAATCTACCAGGGCTCTGTAGGTTCCTTGATTTACCAGGTTTTAACTCAGTCCCAAGGGAAAACTTTATGAATGGCCCTTCCTTTATAATTTATCTGCCTGCAAATTTGCATTTTTAAAGAAAACATCTATTCAATTCTCGTTCTGAGTAGCCAGCATCCTAGATGTTTAAGGAGTGAAGGACCACCTATTGTTTTCTGCACGTGTGCTGAGCTGCCTTACTTCTCTCAAATTTTAACGTGTTCAGTGGGAAGTATGGGCTTCGTTACCTTATGTCAAACACTGAAAGTCTACAAACGGTATCTGATAAATATATAAGTGGATTGTCCTCAGGCACCTGGGAAGTCATCCATGCATGTATACTCAGGTTGTAGAGAAACAAAGCAACTCCATGTTGCTAATGTGATAAAACTGTAGCTTGTCAAGTGCAAGTATGTTAAACCAAAGCGGACCTCCCAATTAATACCCCAGATGAATCTATGTAATCCTTCCAATGTGGTGGTTAATGTGGTAGAGTGGTTTTACAAAGTTTCTCATACTGATCTAATATTGATAAAACTCCACTGGCCTTATGGAATTATTTGAAAATTATATAGTGGATTAATTAAGAAGAAGAAGAAAAAAAAAAGAACCGCTACATATTGCAAGACACTCTCTTCCACCCGCCCACCATCAAGATGGTGGCTTTAATAGGACACAAAGGGAGCTGGGTTTTACATCCTCTTCTAAGGATTTCCCATTTAGTGGTAATTATAATTTTGTGCAATGCAGTGTTGCTGCGGAACACAGCAGGGACTAAACTATTATTTATTATCCAAGCTCAAATTGTAAAGCAATTGGGGGAGGGGGGGAATCCTTTTGTCGTTTTTGTTATACATCTAATTAAACTTTTAAAACCACACCAGCCTTCTTCTGAAAGGTTATATTTAAGATGTCCTTTATTATTATTATTATTATTTTTTAAAAAAATTTAAAATGCAATTGGAACAACATTTGTTTTGCGTGGTAAACAGAAGCCTTTTGGCAGTGGAATCCTTTAGTTTTTGAAAAATGCCAAGAATTATTTGCTTATCTGCAGAGTTTCAACTGCTCTCTTGCCTGTAAGTCATATGGAAACCGAGCTGGAATAAACAAGATTCTGTAGCAGCACAGCTGGGCGTACTGTAAACATACATTATTATGTTCACAACCTAAGCAGTTTGCATTTCCCTATTATTAAGAGGGGGGAGGGAAGAAAAAATAGAAAGGGAGGGGAATGGGTCTGTTAAGTCAAGCCTGGATATTCTAATGTAATTTTGAAGGGCTGCAGAGTTGTCTAAATGATAATGGTATTTGACAGTTTGATATGTATTTATAGCTGTTGCCAGCCCTGTCTGAATACTATATAGGATTATCAGGGATTTTCTGGGTTTATCACTACAGGCATGCAGGATTAACAGCCAGATGAAGTCAAACAGAATTACTCAGCCAATCCATATACTTATATGGCGCCCTTCACACAAGGTCCCAGAGCATTATATATATATATATGTGTGTGTGTGTGTGTGTGTGTGTGTGTGTGTGTTATATATATATATATATAACATAATACACACCCTGTTGTCTTTAGCCTTGGCTTCTAATCCGCAAAGTTGCCATATACCATTGAAAGCCTCCCAGCCCAAAGAAAGCTCAAAGGAATGTTGCGAATTCTACAATGGATCACTAATCAAAGTACAAAACTTGATCTACTAAGACTATAAGCTAGGAATAAGTATCCTCAGAAGAAGGAGAGTTTGTGATAAGAACAAATGATTTTTTCAATACAGTGCATTAAACACAGACAGACAAAACGGGTGATGTACTAAAGTTGTTGTGCTAAACTTGCTACAGCTATCAAGAGGGTACAATCTTTGTTCTGTGCCAAGGTCTTGGAATGTTGTCCAAGGCATGGGCCAGGGCAAAAGTTAATTTGGTCTGATTTAGATTTAAAATTAAATCTAAATAGGATTCCTCTCCAGTCATGCACATAATAATTTTCTCCATCCAACCACAAGAATTTCATAATAAATCTTTGAGGACTTGGAGAACACAGCCAAAGTTTTGGGGACCAATAGATTCTTCAGATATTTGGAGACTTCCGTTACACAGCAATGGTTTACGTGGTAAGGGAAGTATGAGAATTTGAAATAAATCTATGGGAGTGGACAAATCAGACAGTTGGAATTAAAGTGGATGTCAGACATCATTAATTGAATTTCCATTAACAATCTTTGAAACTCTGCAAACATCAAATGAGGAATGGAGCTACCTTTTCAGGTATGCCAACTTTTGGAGAAGGGAAAAAAGATCATATCTCTGAGACCTTCAAAAAAAGATCCAGCTATCAGCCAGGATGTCCTATGTTCATATAGCAAACAGGTACAACTCTTTTAGGGTTTCATAAAAAGACAATGACTTGTGTGTTTGTTATACTTTTATAATGGGATAATTTTTTGAGAATATTATCATCTTTTATACTGTTTTCTTTTTGCATCATATCCATCAGCCACATCTACCATACAATTTGTACATTAAACTTTGTGGTGAGTTCGCTACAGAAAAGACTCTGGTGGTTTATATGTTAAAATCCTTCATTGCAGATCATGTGCCTGAATGTATGAGTAGCCAGTATTTTGCACCCAGTGGAGAACAGCAAATGGAATCAAAGTATCATCCTCCTCCTCATCAAGATCATCATCATCAAGATCATCATCATCAAGATCATCATCAACATCATTATCATTATCATCAAGATCATCATCACCATCATGTATTGTGAGCCGCCCTGAGTCTTCGGAGAGGGGCGGCATATAAATTGAATTAAATTGAAAAATTGAAAATTGAAATCATCACTCTTGAAGAAGATTTAATGGACTCTGTGATTCTTCCCAATAAAACTGCCTTTTATTGTCAGTCCAATCCTTCTACTATCACTGCTTCACTTTTATTGGAGCAGCAATAATGATATGGACACACATATACATAGACCCATACAAAACTCTACTTTTTTAATCATATAAGATGAGAACTTTTTGCAATAGCAAATTTGTCATAAAACAATTAAATTAATATGAATAATGTCCTAGTTGATAATGCACTATTGGGCTAACGTAACCAGATGATTTGTTCTTGGTAAAAGTGTTCTTTTTCAAAAAATGTGATACACAGATTTATACTAAAAGGGTGGGGGGGGGAATGAAGAGGAAAATTACTGTAATTATTTAAGGATCAACATGCCAATGGACATGGCCTCCATATTTAGATTTTATTATATCAAAAGTTATTTTGCTTGTTTTAATCTTGCAAGAGCATCTCTGTTAAACTTTTAACAGAAGGAGCCAGTTGCCTTATGTATACATTTTAAAGCTAATGGCATATCCAAGATGGAATTGAAGAAGTTGTAGATGGTGCAAACATCATGGGATGAATAAATTATAAATGTCACAGCAAACGAGTTGCTTTGCAAAAGATATTTGAGGTGACATTATTGCTGACAGAAGGCAATTCTTTCAGCTGAAAAGGCAGTTACTACTTTTGGAAATGCGAACTCTCTCTCGGTCACATTTCTGATGCTTTCAGGAAAAAAAATGCTTGTTTAACGCTGTGACAGCTGAAAAGATATTTCCTTTGAATGCTTTGTCAATTTGATATTGAACATATGAGACATTAGGAAGGAAAAAGAGGTAGAAAGAGACAGAAGGGGGATCTAAACAGGAATCAACTACTGTGTTGGTGGGTGGTAGAAAAGCTTATCTATCGTGTCTTCCTTGTTACTATTTATCTTATCGTACATTTGATTTGTTCTGATCGTTTCGATGTTCTGCTATTTTATCTGACAAGGAACTGGTCTTATTATGTCCTATCTGGAAAGATTTTTTTTTCTTTTTACAATCCTTTAATCCCTTTATTTAGGGTAGAGTTGGGGCGAATGAATGGAGCTGATCATTTACTGGCCAGTTGCCCTTCCTGATGCCTATGCAGAGTTCATAGCAGACATTTTCTCTTGCGCCCTGGAAAAAAGAAAAAAAAGAGGCAAAACTATAAAGATTATCACTCAGTTTACTATTATATGCAGAGTTAAATTAATAAGAGCCCTATTTTGACCCTGATAGCTATTGCATGATTTTTCTCTTTACTTTTCAAGCCCTCCGATGCCTTTTAAATTAACTGTCATACTGATATGCATTATTTATTGTCATTTCAAGAATCTGCAACTAACTTTGAGAAACTGGGCTTGCCACTTTACTGACCGTAACCTGTTTTCTCTCATTTAAATACACAAAGAGAATATTATTAGACACGGTATATCAAGTTCGAATGAACTTTAATCCTGCAGTTGATCTGGTTTATAGAAGAACGGTCACTCAAAATGTAACCAAGTAACATATAATATCAGGAATTAGACAAATGGAAGGAAAACCATGTGTTGAAGGTTTCAAATCAACATAATCAAGGAACTTAGTGCTGGGCTGGCTGGGTTGATCAGGGGCAAGTGTAGCTAAAATAGGTGTGCAATAGTGGCAAATATCTGTAGCTTGGGTGTAGTATGAGGCTGAAGCTCATTCTCCAAGCTTGTGGGTTGGTTTCACCCCCTAATGATCTTTACCTAATTTATCTTCCCCATCACAAGACCCATCGCAAGACTCACTGATGACTCACACCTGACCCATCACAAGTTCCATTACAAGGCCCTCACTTGACATGCCCATACCTGAAGCCCTTATAAACAGAAGAACACTGACATCCCCTTAACTATGCTGAAGATATTACCTAGTCTGGTAATGAAATGTTCAGAAACCAACCCGCAAGCTCAGAGAATGAACCTTCACCCTCATAAAATAGGTGTGCTAAACCTTTTTTCTCCTTTCTTATAGAGTGGATTCCTGGATATTAAAGACTATTTTGGAAAGTCTCCTCAGAGGTCAAATGGTCTGCCCTGAAGCACTGGAGATATTTAGGGGAGCCAAGAAGATTGGTGAACACAGCTTCAGTTGGAGCCACATTCATACATTTCTCTGATTATTTATTAATATGCAGGTAGTTCTTAACTTACAACTTTTCATTTAATGACCATTTGAAGTTACAATGGCACTAAAAAAGTGACTTATGACCATTTTTCACAACTACAACTGTTGCAGCATCCCCATGATCACATGATCAAAATTTGAACTGGCATGTATTTATAACGGTTGTCCCAGGGTCATGTGATCTCCTTTTGTGACCTTTTAACGAGCAATCAATAGGGAAATAATATTCACTTTATACTAACTTAACACCTGCAGTTATTCGCTTAACAATGGCAGCAGGAAAGGTAATAAAATGGGGCAAAACTCACTTAACAACTGTCTTAACAACAGCATCAGAAATTGTGGTCATAAGTCAAGGACTACCGTATTTTTCGGAGTATAAGACGCACCTTTTTCCCCCCTAAAAGGGGGTGAAAATTTAGGTGCGTCTTATACACCGAATTTAGCCCCGCCCACCCACTGGCCTTTGCCTCCCAGTAGTTACCTCCTTGCAGCAAACAGCAAGAAGGAACAGCTCCTTTCAGCTTCAGCACAGCCTAATTAGCACAAGTCGATTGGATTGACTTGACTGACTCTCAGCTGTTTTGCTCTCAGCTGTTTTGTGGGGCCTCTGCTGCTTGCTGCAAGGAGGTAAATTGCTGAAGCAGATTTTTTTTCCTTGTGCTAATCAAGCTATGCTGAAAACGAAAATGAAAGTAAAGCAGGCTGTTTGCTGTTTGCTGCAATGAGGCAAAATTGCTGGGAGGCAGAGGCAAATTTCTTTTTCTTGTTTTCCTCACCAAAAAAGGTAGGTGCGTCTTATAGTCCGGTGCGTCTTATACTCCGAAAAATACGGTACCTGATTCATATTTAGAAACTGCCACCTGCCTCACAGACTCTGGGAAGTGTACAAGTAAAATATAAAAACATAAAAACCATACAGCATCTAAAATTACGTAAGAGGCAAACATTCAGAATTTAAAGGTGTGAGGAAGGCCTTCAGGGTGTTAACTGGTCCCACGGCTATGTGCTCCTCCATGGGCCCCAAGGAAGTCAGAAGACCCATGTCTTCAAACATTTCCAAAAGGCCAGGAGATTGGGGGCCCACCTCACCTCTGGGCGGGAGAATGTTCCAAAGGATGGGGGCAATGGCAGGAGAAGAAAAAGAGGCGGAGTTTAAACATTTCATCCGTTAAATAGCCACACCTATAGGCTGCTGAAACATTAGCTCATTTCTTTGACCTATTCAACCCTATCTTAGTTATTCACTCCTACTTGTATTCCCCCCACATTTGTCAAGTTTTAAACTGTAAACCCTAAAGGCAGGATGCCTTTTATTTTGAAATTCTTCCCAAAAAACCAGTGAAAAAACCACATGAAAGCCTAAATAAAGCTTGTTGTGGTTGTTTTGTTTCATGCCACAACCCTACTTGGTGAGCCCTAAAAAATTAAAATTGCTTGATCATATACAAGTGGGAAGAAAGATATATTAGGAGTTATGTATAGTGGCGTGGCATGGGGCCAGATTACCTGCGGATCCATCTTTATCTCATTAAATCAGCCCATCTCACTTGATCAGGCTGGGAAGGTATGTTGTGGATCCCATCAGTTAAAGAGTTTTGCCTGACAGGAGGATCCAGAAAGAGATGTCAGGACCATTTATGGCTGCAGCATAGAAGTTTTATTCAAGGCTATACACAAGAATCTAGTCTGGGGTCTCCAAACCTGGTAATTTTAAGACTTCAATTCCCAGAATTCTTCAGTCAACCATAAGAGCTGAAGTCTACAAGACTTAAAATCGTCAAGTTTGGAAACCCAGAGGTGGGTTCTACTTACCTTTACTATCGGTTCGCAGCGGGGCCGTGCAGGCGCACTCGCAAAACTTCTGCGCGTGCGCAGAAGCATTCTGATGACATCGGGGTTGGTGGGCGGAGCCTCCCACTGGTTTTACTACCGGTTCTATAGAACCGGTGCGAACAGGGGAAACCCACCACTGCCATGATCCAGTCAACTAAAGTTCAGCACTAAATTGGAACCAAATAAAGGTAAACAGAATTTAGGAAGGCTTTGATTTAGAGCAGTTATGGGAATACAAGGACTTTAAACTGATGAAAATCTAGGGGGGGGGGTTTGTAAGCATTGTGGTTGGTTGGTTACTGGAATGTACTTTAACTGCTAAAATAGCAATAGCAATCACACTTAGATTTATATACTGCTTCACAGTGCTTCATAGCTCTCTCTAAGCAGTTTACAGAGTCAGCATATTGCCCCCAACAATCTGGATCTGGGCTGGTGGCTGAGCCACCAGGGGCCTGGTGGCTCAGCAGACTGAAAGCATTGTGATTAACACCAGCTGTCTGCAATTACTGTAAGTTCGAATCTCACCAGGCTCAAGGTTGACTCAGCCTTCCATCCTTTCTAAGGTAGGTAAATTGAGGACCCAGTTTGTGGGGGCAATAAGCTGACTTTGTATAAATATACAAAAAGTATGAAGGCTATTGCTTAACGCATTGTAAGCCGCCCTGAGTCTCCGGAGAAGGGCGGCATATAAATCAAATAAAAAAAAAATATGGCAACTGAGATAAATGCAATCATGCTATTCTGGGGTGGAGGGGGGCATGATATTTCTGCTGGTTGGAATTATATTGTTTCAGTAATTGGCATTGATATAGTAGGCCACTGTATTGGGAGCTGGCCAAACCTGAGAAAGCAGGATTTTAAACTCTATAAATTGACCTGTCCATGTGAGTAAGAACATCCTAAACTTACAACTATAGTTGAAGCCAAATTTCTGCTGCTAAGCAGAATGAATTGAATGAGTTTTGCTCATTTTACGACCTTTCTTGCCCCAGCTGTTAAGTGAATCACTGCAGCTGTTACGTTAGCAACACCTTTATTAAGTGAATTTGGCTTCCCCATTGAGTTTGCTTGTTAGAAGGTTGCAAAAGGTGATTACTTGACCCCGGGACATCCCAATTGTCATAAATACATGCCAGTTGTCGAGCGTCCAAATTTTGACTGGGGCTGCAACAGCTATTAAGTGTGAAAAATGGTCATAAGTCACTTTTTTTCAATGCGGTTGTAACTTCGAAGAACAAATGGTTGTAAATTGAGGATTGCCTTATTTGCCTTTTTTCCCCCTATGTACTTCGCATGTCTATTTGTAAGGGAAGCAAGGTTACAGGATAAAAACAAAGAACCTTAGTGTGCTGATCATAGCAAGGACACAGACTCTAAATTTATCTGGAATTTCCTAACGTTCGGGGAAACCTTTCCCAGCAGCACAGTACGTGCAAAAATGAGATGAGATGAGATGAGATGAAACTGACCTTAGCATAAATGTGGGTGGGGGCAGACTTCTGAGCACACGTACAATCCAACTGATATTTGTACCCAGAGGGGGGGAAAAAAGAATAAGAACAAAAAAAAATGGTCTTCATTTTTTTGTCAAGCTTAGCTGTTCACAGGGTCACCCAAGCTAATAAATGAAACATGCATAATTCATCACTCTACATAGTACTTTGGATCTTTTAAATCACTACCAGTGAAATGGTGGAACATTAGGCCAGTAACATTGCCTACCAAAACTTTTTATCTGTCTTAAAGGGAAGAACATTTCTCTTTCTCTCTCTCCCCTTCCCTTCTTTTTCTTAACTTCCTTGTTTCTCCTTTTCTGTTTCTTTTTTTTTAAAAAAAACCCACTATTTACTATTTTAATGAAAAAGCAAGCAGAGCTAGGTTGATTTCCATAATATAGAGCGACATAAGGCACATTAATAATTTACAAAGCTCCGTGCGAGGAGCTGTTCCAGAAGCCCCTTTCATACCCGAGAAATGCATACAAAATCATTGCTCACCCTTTACTTACAAACCTGGTAGCACTGAAGCATTTCTTCAAGAATTTCCTCACTGCCTCAGGAAGGCTCCCAAAACAACCAAGAAACCTAGCTGTGTTCCCCCCTTCACTTTCTATCTATCTATCTATCTGTCTGTCTGTCTGTCTGTCTGTCTGTCTGTCTGTCTGTCTATTTTCTTAGCCCAACTTTCTTCACAAAGTTGTTTTAAAAAATAGAGAGAGAGAGCAATAGGTATTGAATTCCTATGTTAACCTTTAACCACTGTCTCAGACTAAAAATAATGCTTCCAAGCAAGATTATCATAGTGTCTTTCATCAATAAGACTGAGTTCCAGAGGAAAGAATTACATATGAGGCAGCAACTGAATTAGTAGACTTACAGAACTAATTCATCCACTGAAATATCTTCAAATAGAGACTTATCCTGCTTCTTCTTGCTGAACTTCCTATGACATGGATAAGAGACGTGTCTCTGCAGATAATGGAAAACCTTGAGCTATGTGCATCCTATTGAACAGACCATTATTTGATAATGTCTAAAATGGATTTTAGGAAGAAAATGGATCTGGAAGAAAAGAAAAAGAAAATAGAGTAGTGTTTCTCAACCGTTTCTTCAGTACAAACTCCGTTTAAATACTTTTGTGGCTACAAACCATGGCCATCCACCCCCAAGACTTAACTCAAGATTTAAATGATAACATTTCTTCAAGCCTTCATAGAACCCCTGTGACGACATCGCAGCCTCCCAGGCAGGGGTCAAATCTACTTACCTTCCCTACTGGTTCGGAAGTACATGCGCCTCAGGTGCGCGGATTCTCTGCGCATGTGCAGAGGGTAAAAAACAGGTTACTTCCTGGTTAAAACCAAGAAGTAATGATGACCAGGTGAGTGAGTGGAGCCTTGTGCTGCCATTGCTACCAGTTCTACGAACCACCCGCCGCCATCGCTACCGGTTCAGCTAAATCGGTCCGAACGGGTAGCATTTCACCCCTGCTCCCAGGGGTCTGAGGACCACAAGGTTGAGAACCACTGAAATAGAGTGAAAGTAGGAAAAATTACCAGAGTAAGAAGGAATCCATATGAAAAAGTATTAAAAGAAAATTCGCAAGCAGAATAAATATAAATAGATGTAAACAATTGTGGAAGCTGCATGGAAGAGAATGAAAAAAATCTGTATTGCAGCGTACCCCAAGCATGTGGGAAATTATGTTAATGGTATATATGTAAAAGAGTGCTTGCTAGAGTGATAAAATGAAAGATGCCACAGCTAAGGAAAATGAATAAAAATGATTGCTGCAAAAAATGAGGATGTGGATGAATGGAAGATACTATATTATGTGAACGTTGAGAAAATGAGAGAAACATAAGAAATATCTACATACAAAAAATGTAGTCAGCTGGAGAAACAATTAAAGAAGGCATTGAAAATACTGGACAATTTTGGTGAAAATAAAAACATATTTTGAGACTGGGGACTGAGGGCTAAACAAGGAGCCTTCAGGAAACTGAAAAGAATTAAAAATGAACATGTTTAAATGATTTAAATTGAAACTGAAGCAAGGAAGGGCTAAAAGGAGCACTTTAGAGATTGTACAGAAACGATAGTGAGATGTCAAAGTGAGCATTGAAACGAATGCTTCCAGCTGGCATGAAAAGTATTAAGTTTATGACTTGGATCATCACTGAGCTCAGTAGAACTCTCTTTATCTCTTAACTCCTATATTGCTTGTTTGATTCTTTTATTGGCCAGTGATGTCTTGCATTTGATTTAGCACAAGGCCAAAATTAAGAACACAGGGAAAACAAAAGCTTTACTCAAGAAAGAGCAGAGCAACCATTGATCTCACAGCACAACCAACTCAGCTGAATCCCAGTCCAGAATCTAATGGGGGGGTTAGAGTGGGGAACCAAAGTGAGTTTATCACCACTTGAAAAATATATTTCTCATGCTATAGAGATGGTTAAAATGTCTGAATGAATGCAGATAAAACCTTTAGTGAGTAATTGAAAAATGGAGGCTTTAAATCAGGTTACATATTTTACATCAAAAAATGGCAGAGCTAAAAAGTCTGGCGATCAAATCACATGAAAAACATGCATAACTCAGCTTGAATACTCTGATAAAACAACTTGCAACAGATGGGGCAGCTGCTTTGAAAGTGAACAAATCTCTCCAGGATGAAGTTGCTTGCACAAATAATGAAGGATGTAGTTACTTGGACAAATAATTGAAAAATTGCATATGAGATTAATATCACTCCAAATAGAGTATAAACGTGAATTGCTCAGTGTCACACATTGAAAAGAGGAAGGGATGGGAAGAGGAATTGATTCCAGGCCTGATTGTCAGCAGGACTGCCTTTTACCAAGAATTTCTATCCTCCTGAAAGAAAAAAATCAAATAGGGCAGGTTCACAGATGAAAAACAGAACAAAAATGTTGTAAAAAGAACAACAATTGATCCAAGGGAACAAATAAAATGACCCTATGTCATTCCCACCCTGGGCTGGTTTTAGAGCTCATCCAAAGCTGAATTGGGTTCTTTGTTGGACTTTTATATTGACTGATTGATTGATTGATTGATTGATTGATTGATTGATTGATTGATTGATTTATTTATTTATTTATTTATTTATTTATTAAATTTTTATACCACCCTTCTCCCGAAGGACTCAGGGCGGTGAACAGCCAGGATTAAAATACATGCAGTATAAAAATTAAAATAATTTAAAAATAATTAAATCCAATTTGGCTTTCCAATTTTAAAACCCCTTACCCATAAAAATTAATCAATTAAAATTTTAAGCCAGCCCGGCTCGCTGAAACAAGAAAGTCTTCAGAGCCCGGCGGAAAGTACGGAGGTCTGGGATCATTCGTATCCCTGAGGGTAGCTCATTCCAGAGGGCGGGTGCCCCCACAGAGAAGGCTCTCCCCCTGGGGGTTGCCAGTCGACATTGCTTGACCGACGGCATCCTGAGGAGACCCTCTCTGTGGGAGCATATTGGCCGGTGGGAGGTTATCGGTGGCAGAAGGTGGTCTCGTAGATATCCAGGCCCTAAGTCATGGAGCGCTTTAAAGGTGAGAACCAAAACCTTGAAGTGCACCCGGAAGACCACCGGAAGCCAGTGCACCTCACGCAGGAGAGGTGTTACATGGGAGCCCCATGTCGCCCCCATAATCACCCGCGCGGCTGCATTCTGGACCAGTTGGAGCCTCCGGGTGCTCCTCAAGGGGAGCCCCCTGTAGAGAGAATTACAGTAGTCCAGGCAGGAAGTAACGAGGGCATGAGTGACCGTACATAAGGAGTCCCGATTCAGAAAGGGGCGCAACTGGCGTATCAGGCGAACCTGATAAAAAGCCACAGCCGTCATATGCTCTTCTAAAGTTACGGGCCCTTTCCGTGGGGGCCAATGACTCGCCCCCAATAGCCAGCGATGGCACCAGCTGCTATATCGGGACACCGGCAACCACAGCCCCTCGGTCTTGGAGGGGTTGAGTCGGTGCCTGTTCCTCCCCATCCAGACCTGTGTTGTGGCTCCGTTACCAGAGCCTGTGTCATCGTCAGGAGAGGACTCCGAAAGTGAAGGGGAGGAGTTGGCAAGGCCTCCCTCTCCAGGACCCTCCTCTCTGGCAATGCCTTCGGTGTCCGCCGAAGGGCAAGAGATAGGGCCAGGGCCAAGCACGTCCACACAGCCACAGATGGACAGTGATGAGCGTAATGAGTCTTGGCTGGACCCACGCCAGCGTCACAGAGATAAGCGCGTGCAACAGAAGAAAGGGCGTGCCTGAGGTTAGGCTGAGTCACTGGACCACACCCCACAGGATATAAAAGGGAGCGTGGTGGCCAGTCAAACCTTGTGACGAACAAAGCTAAAAGCTTCCACGCCATTCTGCATTGCTGGACTTTTGCTTTAAGACTTTGCTGGAGTATTCCGTAATTATTGAGCTGCTTTCCTTTGATGTATCAGAAGTGGGGAGAAGTTATCTCTCCTCTTTGTAAATAATAAACTCTTGGCAGGCAGCCACTAGGTTGTTGCCAAGTTCCGTTATCATAAGGAAAAGAATTTTGCCAGCTGGTTTGGTCTTTAACTCCTGAACGTCTGTTGGTGTGTGTGCGTGGGGTTGGGGATAGAACAACCTGCACAGCCTCCAGGCACCGGGACATCACTTCAAGGGCATCATTGGGGTGGTCTGGAGTGGAGATGTACAGCTGAGTATTGTCAGCGTACAGATGGCACTGCACCCCAAAACCACGGATGATCTCATCCAGCGGCTTCACATAAATGTTGAACAGGAGAGGCGAGAGGACCGACCCTTGCGGCACCCCACAAACAAGGTGCCTTGAGGTTGACCTCTGCCCCCCTGCCAACACGGACTGCAACCGGTCAGAGAGATAGGAGGAGAACCACCGTAATACGGTGCCTCCCACTCCCAACCCCTCCAGCCGGCACAGCACAATACCATGGTCGATGGTATCAAAAGTTCACTGAGAGATCTAATAGGACCAGGACAGAGGAGCACCCCCTGTCCCAAGCCCTCCAGAGATCAGCGATTTATGAAGTTCGCTCAGGGTTAGTTCTGCAGAGACAGCCTTATAAGTTCTGTAAATAAAAAAATAAGCAAGCTTATATGTGTTTCTGTTTCCATTTGGTTCAAAACCTCAGTTCCATTATCACAAGATTCCATAACATGGAACCATATTCAATATTTGTCTCAGCAGCTGAGAACAGTTGGATGAAAAACAAAGACGGTTATGGTTTTAACCAAAACTTCTATTACTGTAGGTTCGAGAAAGCTGAAGAGGTTCACAGAAGACCACTAGGTTAAAAACAAAAACCCAAGATCTTTCTTTTCCAGTGTTTTGTTTTATTATTCATTTATCCTGAATGCTGGCCTGTGAAGTTTAGCTGCCAATCCCAATGAGAGAGAATGAGGTAGGTTAGCAGTACCAAATTTTAAATGATATTATCAAGTCAAGGGTCCAACCTGAATTGCAAACTGGATTATATCATTTATGGCTTGGATAATTCTGTTGACCCAGATGGTTTGCATGTTTATACTTATATCTGTAATCTTATATATGCTTGACTAAATAAATAAATAAATAAATAAATAAATAAATAAATAAATAAATAAATAAATAAATAAATAAATAAATCTATCATAAATAGTGTGTCAAAAGTATGGGATAAACACGAGGGGAAAAGTTAATCTTATGTATTATTCCTCACTTCAATACTAAATATTTTCATGAAGGTGAATATACAGAAACAATTAATAAATAGATAGATAATAATTTGTATAGATTGCAAGATTTGAAACAAAGACGAACTCTTTTGAGACTTTCTCTGTAATAGTCAGAATTGTCTCATTGATTTCAACATCTTCATATAAGCAGCATAGTCCAAACAATTAAAAAAAAAAAAAAGGTAAGTAAAGCTAAGTAAAAATACTTAGACACTTGTCAAAATTTGAAAAAAGAAAGTAATTATAATATATATCTCGGATCTCTTGGGACTTATTTATAAATTATTACTGAAATACAATTCAAAAAATACAATTAAATGAATTTTGGAAAACAATTTTTTTCCACTGGATTCTTTAGTAATAGAAATCAGCCTCATCCTTTCACTGAAGCACACATTCTTTTTTCCGGTAGCAGAGGTGACAAAGCAAACATAAAACACACGCCCACTTTATTCAGAGTTAGGATACTGATATGATCAGTTATTGGACAGGCAGGTGGCTCAGTAGTTTAATGACACTGGAGATGATCTCTGCTTTAGTGGTTTGAGTCCTAGCATCACATGTTGGGATGAGTTCCCACCACTCGCCTCAGCTTCTGTCCACCTAACTGTTCAAAAGCATGTTCTATACAAATAGATAAATAGGTACCACTTTGGTCAGGAGACAAGTTGGGGTTCTGTTCAAGCAGTCAGATTCCTGCTGGCGATGAACCTTTCTGCTTGCAGTGCCCGTTTATGAGACAGCTCTGGGGAAGGGAGGGGGCCTAGGATGACACTACAGAAAGATTTGCTCATCTTTCTTTCAAGTGTGAAGCCAGCTCATCCTCCTGTGGCGCACCTTGGGAAGCATGTCCTACAACAGAGGTGGTAAATTGGCAGCCAAACTACTACTCTGCAATAGCATTGTGGTCTCCTGGCTAATGTAATGATGCCATACACTAATAATAATAAGCTATTGGATAGAGCAGAGTAATTCTGTGTTTAATGAGCTCATATGTGAGGTAGTTTCTACAAAGTAATGGGATAGAACTACAAAAGCAATGGCTTACCAATACAATACAGAGGTATTCTTTGAACATAGGCTATTTCTACAAAATATATACTTTTAAAGATTTGTCTTATACTGTCCTTGTTTCCCAGACCATATGCTTGCCTCTTAATATACTTTCCCAGTTTTATCAACTTTCCTTAGCCTTCCAAATCAGGGGTGTCAAACTCATGTCGTCATGGTAGCATCACATGACATATCGGTATTTTTTTTTTCTCCTTCACTAAACCGGGCGTGGGCGTGGCCAGTGTGTGACGGATCCGGGCCATGAGTTTGACAGCCCTGTTCTAAATGTTTTGTAGTTTCTAAAATAAAGCGTTCAAAAATGTTAACAAATGAATTGCTAAGGATTTTAAAGAATATTAAGTATATCTCTTATGATCTTAATGTGAGATTAATTCATTTTTTTTTTACATCTATTGGGTACCCCATAAAATATTTTTAAAAGGTTGCCTGCCCACCTTGTAATGCTGGAAAGGTAAAAATGAGTAAGTAGATACGTACTAATATAATTTGGCTTTGTCCCAGTATTGTCACATTTTAACATCCATTAGTTTATTAATTTAGTGTTTAAACAATCACTTCGATACAAATGTGAATATGACTTTGAATTATATAAGAAAACTTGGATTTTACCACTGTGTGAAGTATTGTGGAATTTTTTTTTAGCATGATGTCAGCAAAAATGTCTCCTCTTTGAGAGAGAGAGTTCAAACCTGACTTTGAGAGAGAGAGTTCAAAGCTGACTTTGTATAAATATACAAAAGTATGAAGGCTATTGCTTAACGCATTGTAAGCTACCCTGAGTCTCCGGAGAAGGGCGGCATATAAATCAAATAAAAAAAAAAACCTACAGTAAATTCATAATCTTGGATCACCAACATATGATCATTTTCAGTTCATGAACTGGTTCTAGTGGAAAGATAAATCAATATTTCATGTAGCCGTAGATTAAGGACCCTTCCACATACCTATTTGGAAAATAAAGTAATTATAAAGTAAATCATAATCTGCTGCTATTGCATGAGACCCTGATCTTTTCACCTGAGCCAGCCATCTTCTCCCTCTGGTCTTGCATTCATTGGTGCAGAATTTCGACTGGCAGGATCTAGGAAGAGAGCTTTATCACTGCCCTTTCATTATGGAATATCCTTCCCCCAGAATGAAGGCAGCCCCCCCACACTCGCCTGGACTTCTATAAAGGGGTCAAAACTTGTCTCTGCAGCCTGCATGCAAAGGACCATGAAATCAGGGAGTTGGCTGGCACCATGAAATCCCTCCCTCCACCTTTATTAACCAATGTTAAATGGCCATCTTGGATTTTTTTAAATTTCTTTGAAATTTTATAACTTCATAATTTTAAAATCTGTAAAATCTTAAATTATCTTTTATATTCTGATGTTAACTTTGCATGCTGTGTTCTATATTGTGTAGGAAGTTAGCACCCACCCCTCTCCTAGAAAAATGAAATATTTTAGGAAATATTAAAAGGGCAGAATATTTCCCCTAAAAGGGAGGCAGAAACTCAGCCCCCCCTCCCACATCTTTGTTAATGGGCCATTAAGGCCTGAGCCAGCCCATTCTACATAACAAAGGTCGAATTAGCCCTCTACCCATCTAGGAACAGAACTCACTACATGGCACCTGGGGAGATTACATTACCCAGCAAGGCTCAAGCAAATTTGGACTCAAAACACAGTCTATGCAGAGTTGCTCCTGCATGGCCCCATGGGAGTCTGACAACCAATCAGAATACAAGCCCAAATTCAAAGTCCAACAGAGGGCATAAAACCAAGGCACTCTCAGCAACTGTTCCTTTTTCTACTCAGGAGCTCAGGAAGCCATGTGATCCTGTTCATCAATAAACCTTCTTTCCAAGCAACTTCCATGAATCCAATGTCTTTTCCTCCACTTGGAACTGAAACCAGAAGGATATTTCTTCCAACGGTTGATTATATTGTACACTGCCCTGAGTCCCTCCTTGAGGGAGATGGGTGGGCTAGAAACATGAAATATAAATAAATAAATAAAATCTAATATTACCTAAGCTTTGTTAAGAGAAGCTTGTCCTCATTATAACAATATACCATTGATTGGATGATGCTAGAAGATACTACAAATTACTAGTGAAGAACTGGCCAGTTTTAAGCAATGGGGTGTCAGTGGTGGGTTTCAAATTTTTTTACTACCGGTTCTGTGGGTGTGGCTTGGTGGGCATGGCTTGGTGGGCATGGCAGGGGAAGGATACTATAAAATCTCCATTCCCATCCTACTCCAGGGGAAGGTTACTGCAAAATCCCATTTCCACCCAATCAGCTGGGATTCGGGAGGCAGAGAATAGATGGGAACGTGGCCAGTCAGAATTTTTACTACCAGTTCTCCAAACTACTCAAAATTTCTGCTACCAGTTCTCCAGAACTGGTCAGAACCTGCTGAAACCCACCTCTGGGGTGAGTGTCACGTAGTAATAGTTACAAAGGTAGAATCGGAAACAGTAATATGATCAAAGCAGCATGCCAGTTGCTGTGAGAGTGGCTTGTGGGGAGAGAGAGAACTTTTTAAACTGCTTACAAAAACGCCAATGCTAACATTTACTTTCCTGTCACATTAGGTTTGTTGCCTTAGACATTAGTGCCATTTTTACCTACCTGTTAAACAATTTTAGATTATTATTTCACAACACATCATTTATGTCTCTCTCTTTACTAACACAGAATCATTATCTTGCCAGTCAACGATGACAGATGATTTAGTTAAGATTCCCTTATTCCCTTTGTTATTGGTTAATGGGGGAAAAAAATCTAACTTTACTACAAAGCAGAACATCTTCTTCTTCTCTCTCTCTTTCTCTCCCTCCCTCCTTCTCTCTCTCTCTCTGCGCACAATGCTACTCAAATAGTTTTAGTGCCTGAGGTTAGGAACAAGATGGTGCCTCTCACTTCACATGCAAAAATTGCCCAGACTGGCAGGCAAATGGTATTTCAACACTAGGAATGACATTGCATGGAAGCGGGGGAGGGGGGGGGAGATAAGTGGGGAGGATAAGGCAGTTTAGTCCAACAGAGGAGAATAACAAGGTGTGTGAATGCGGGTCATTTTGACTGTGACAACTTCTCTTTGGATGTGGCAGCTGAAGAAGAAGAATCGGGTGGACCTTCTCTGTAGATAGCACAGCGCCCCCAAAATAGGAGGAAAAAATTGAGGAGGGCACATAAACAATTACCTGTTCGTTTGTTTATATACCACATTTATATATCACTGTTTATATATCATACTCAGGGGCTGCCACAAAGAAGAGGGAGTCAAGCTATTCTCCAAAGCACCTGAGGGCAGGATAAGAAGCAATGGGTGGAAACTAATCAAGGAGAGAAGCAACTTAGAACTAAGGAGAAATTTCCTGACAGTTAGAACAATTAATCAGTGGAACAACTTGCCTCCAGAAGTTGTGAATGCTCCCAACACTGGAAGTTTTTAAGAAGATGTTGGATAACCACTTATCTGAAGTGGTGTAGGGTTTCCTGCCTAAGCAGGGTGTTGGACTAGAAGACCTCCAAGGTCCCTTCCAACTCTGTTATTCTATTCTATTCTATTCTATTCTATTCTATTCTATTCTATTCTATTCTATTCTATTCTATTCTATTCTATTTCTAAACTACCCATATCCTTTGAAGAGGGACAATAAAACATTGAAATATAAAACAGTATATAAAACATTAAAATGTTACAGTTAAAATGTTAAAATTTAGAATACACACATACATATACATACATACATACATACACTGTATGTATTCCTGCCTCCTATACAGACACATATACAGAGAGAGAGACAGACAGACAGACACTGTGTGTATATAGGAGGCCTCTCATGGACAAACAAAATGTTAAAAAGTTATGATATATATGAAGTTACTTAACCAAGCATATCTAAATTATATTAAAGCAACCAAAGTATCTTTACAATCCCCAAGGCATGTCACAACTTTTGAGCAGCCCTAATGTTTGGAAATTGAAAGTTGAAAAATTTGACATGTCCTAAATTTTCCAACCTCACAACTATGCGCTACTTCGGGCTCCGCCTGCAAGACCAAGGGCCGTGTTTATATTGCTCTACATTATTCAGTGATTTGTATAATTATTTGACATCTTGTGTTGGTTTTCCAGGGTCTCCTGCACCCCAGACCCCAAACAGATTATATTTGAACTATAGCATTTTGAAGACACCGTTTCTGTAGGCCACGCATTGCTTTGTAGCCTTCTGGTGAGGAAAATATTTTTTACAGATGAAGAAATGCTGGCCCTCCTCCAAGATTTTCAGCCAAAATAAGAGAAAACAGGGATGGTCAGCAACCATGTAATACTTCCTCAAGTCAGCAGAGTAACCATATGCCATCTTTAATCAGTATTAAGCTCTAAAAAAACAAACAAACCAGCAATTCCAGATTCTTCCAGTATCACAGATACAATTCTCCAGTGTTGGTTCAGATTCATAAATTCTGGCTCCCATCCAATTGTCAGTACTTTTTTAGTTAAATGTCATATTATTAGAAATGGTGGAAAATATTTGTAGTTTGGGTAGTAAATGTTGATGATGGTTTGTTCTCTATGCTAGTTTTTTTTTTTTAGTTTCCAAACATTTAGTCACCAGGCTAAGAACCATCATCAGCAGAACTTCAGTTGAACCTTCAACCTACGTTCTGCTAATGATGTTACCTAGCCTGGTGATGAAATGTTCGGAAACTAAACAACAAGTTCAGAGAACAAACCACATCATATCATTACAGTAATGAATATACCTGCAGCTAATCTTTTCTTCCTGGCATACATATTTTTTTTTTTAAAAAAAAAACTTCTCACCTCACAGAAGAGGTTCCAAAATATTAGTTTTTGCATCTAATGAAAGCATCTCATTAACTGACTTCCCCCCACCCCCCAAAGCATCTAGATGACCCATGATCTACTCTGGTGGGGGAAAAAAGTCATCACAGTAAGAATCAGTATTTATTCATTTCATTTGTATTCCATTCTCCCTCAGGAATGAAAACTAGCATCCATAGCACTCCTTCCTCCATTTATTTCCCCATAACAACAAACCTGTAAGGAAGGTTGTGTGGAGAGAAACTAACTGACTCAAAATCACCCAGTGAACTTTTTTTTTGAAAAAGTTTTTTATTTTTTTTCCTCATAAACATATCTTAAGTGTACAGTTTCTTATCTAACATACATATTTTCTTTTAGCTTTCATACTAATACAATCTTCATCCTAAACAATTTAAGTATATTCGGGGTTGCTCTTCTACCATTTCATCTCCCTTGTTTTACAACCATCCTTCTTCTCTCTCTCCTCTTTCCTTTCCCTTCCTTCTTCCATCTACTCTTCTACTTTCTTCTTTCCCCCTCTCCTTCTCCTTCTCTCCTTCCCCTTCCTTTCTCCCACACCTCCCTTCTTCCTCCGTTCTAACCTTCACTCCTACTCTTGTTTCCCCTTTCTTTCTTTCTTTCTTTCTTTCTTTCTTTCTTTCTTTCTTTCTTTCTTTCTTTCTTTCTCTTTCTTTCTCTCCTTTTCCCTTTCTTCTTTCCCTCTCTCTCCTTCCTCTCTTCTCTCCTCTCTCCCTCTCCATTCTCTCTCTATGGTTGTATTCATTTTCAATTTAGTATTTTCCAAAGTGGTATTTGAGCAATCCCGATTTTTACAGTGAACTTCTGTGGTTAAGGGCAGAAGTGAACCTTGATGTCTTAGTCCTAGGCCAACACACTGACTACTATACACACTAGCTATGAAAAATGTTTCTACATACAGCACATGTCTATGGAGAGTCTCAATCATCCAGGTCCTGATTTTTCCAAAGGTGCTTTTCCAAAGGGCAACTGGACTTTCTTGGGTTTTTTTTTCCTTTGAAAACATTTCACTTCTCATCCAAGAAGTTTCTTCAGTTCTGAACTAAATTGAACTGAAGAAGCTTCTTGAATGAGAAGTGAAATGTTTTCAAAGAAAAACAAAACAAAACAAGAAAGTCCAGTTGCCATTAGGAAAAGCATCTTTGGGACTCCACATTCAATTTTCAGTGGGAACCCTAGTTTCAACAGCGAGCGCCCTGGTTCTTGAAATATATGAATCAG